GGTCTTGTTGGATATCCTTTTTTATGAGTCTTCACATATCTAGGTAACACACTGTAGTCAGTTTTCACAATCTTGTGAAATAAAAGTGAAGCAGTGTATGACTATGCAAAACTTCAAATTTGTATTTATTTAAATAGCCCTAAAACAACACGCTGGTCTTGGCGGACATCCTGTTTTATGTAACTTCACATATCTTGGTAAACCACTGTAGTCAGTTTTCACAATCTTGTGAAGTAATAGTGAAGAAGTGTGTGACTATGCAAAACTTATCTGTATTTATGCGACACGCTGTATATACGGGTCTTGTTGGATATCCTATTTATGAGTCTTCACATATCCAGGTAGCACACTGTAGTCAGTTTTCACAATCTTGTGAAATAAAAGTGAAGCAGTGTATGACAATGCAAAAATCAAATTTGTATTTATTTAAATAGCCCTAAAACGACACGCTGGTCTTGTCGGACATTCTGTTCTATGTAAATTTACATATCTAGGTAACACACTGTAGTCAGTTTTCACGATCTTGTGAAGTAAAAGTGAAGAAGTGTATGACTATGCAAAACTTCAAATCTGTATTTATGCGACACGCTGTATAAACCGGATCTTGTGGGATATTCTGTTTTATGCACTTACCACATTTAGGTAACACAGTGTAGCCATTTTTCACAATCTTGTAAAATAAAAGTGAAAAAATTTTGATGAAAATGCTGTAAAAGCGTAGGGTTAGTCGTTATCTATCTTTTTCCACATTTGACCAATTTTTAATTCGAATTATCGGCGCTGGATTTTCCGATTTCGTCCACATTCGTCCATGTGCGGCCGGTCAAAAGCCGTGGCAAAATCGTTTCGAACCCCGCCGAGCGGCAGTCCTAGCCATATACCATTCCCACGGACCGATACGTCTACTAATACGAAAAACCCATCGCGAGATAATCGAATGCCATGCGAATAATGAATAAGAAATTAAGCTGTCGTAGCGGCGACGAGGTGGGTTGGCAGCCCGGCGAAATATATCGCCCGTAAAACGTCAACCGTCTCCCATTGTGTACACTGAGCGTACGCGCATTTCCAAGAAACACTAAACATTTCAATTACCGGTAATCGCCGCTGTTAATAACACGGTGCCGCGCGAGCCACACGCAAAAATCCCACCCCTTGACGGCGGCGTTGCAACGTTTCGATGGTTGCCGGATCGGACCTGTGACGTCAGCCGACGCGTTGCGTGGTTTCCCTCGCGACAGACGTTTGCGCTGTGTTCTTTATTGTAAGAGAGTTATAAAGCCTCATTGAACTGTTAAACTTAGTGGTCTTAACCCTATTCCATTGTTGAAAAGTTTCGCTGGTAACCTCTCTGGTGATGAACTGTATATTACTCATTCTTTATTAGCGTCAGTACATTCCTTCTTTTATCTTTAAAGTTATTATGTTTTTTTTTGCGGTGCAGCTAAAAACTTTACTTCTTTAAAAACACATTTCGTTCAGCGAAGAAAGAGGCAAAAATCTGCCCAGTTTTTAAAAAAGCTAATGTTACTTAAGAACTACAGACCTACATCACTGCTTTCTGTCCTGCTCAAATATTTCAATGAATAATGCATGATATACAGGGTGTTTTCTAATTGAATGTCCGTATTAAGGGGGTGATTTTTAGGTCCATTTTACAAAGAAAATTTCGTATGAACATATGTCCTAAGTCTTAACTGTTGAGATACCGGGAAAAAACTTCCCTTGCGACAGACTTTTGCGCTCTGTTCTTCAATGTAAGACAGTTATAAATCTTCATTGAACTGTTAAACTTAGTGGTATTGTTGAAAAGTTTAAAAAAATTACTTCGCTGGTAACCACTTTGGTGATCAGCTGCATATTACTCCATCTTTATTACCGTCAGTACATTGAGGTCTCAACAGATTATTTAAATTTCAAAAGTAATAAAAAAAGTTTTTAATATTCATAACGTGGTAGGTCCTGATGGTATTGCTTCTTTTATCTTTACAATCGTTGAAAAAGGCAAAAATCTTTGTTGCGGTTGTTGTTGAGACAAACTGCTGACGTTTCATCATCCTGTTCCTTCTTCAGAACTTAACTGAGCAGATTCAATAGCCTGTGGAAATTTCTTTAAAAAATATTTTGTAATGTCTGTATCTAGCATGTGTTGTTTTATCATACAAAAATTGCAAGAAATCAAATTTCATATTGCCTAAAACATTCTATATATCATTTGTCAGTTCTATATGGAGCCCTTGTTATGAAACCCATAAGTATAACATTGACATGTTCCAAATGGACATCGAAGTGTATCTTCAGCCATTTTTTATACAAATAATCAACTAATAGGATCAATGTTCCCGAATGATTAAATCAAAACACGAAATTTCCTGTAGATAATACCCATACTAATTATTATGGTACTTCACCAATTATTACTAAGTGTAATTATCGTAATTGAATACGCACAGAGTCTGATTTATGGCATGTATCTTCAGTTAGTAAGCAGTTAGTTAGTGTTCTTGTATTTATTCGATTATTCCCAACGTACTCTGTAAAGTGAAGTAATTCTGTTGAGTTTGTAAATATATTAATAAATACATAAATAAATAAATATAAATATACTCATATAGACAAATATTGCATGAAATACTTAAATATTGGTAAAAATTACACCTAAATAACAAATACATAAATAAAATAAAATTAACATTAAAATTTCCATTCATTTATATTCTTTATGTCCATTTTACTAAAGCAATTCGCCAGAGTATGGTATATATTGAGATTCAGATAAGTTGTGTCATCGGCGAATAAGATAGAGTCATCAAATGCCACATACTGACCAACCCGTACATCATAAAATTCCAGTATTTTCATAAAAATATCAATATTACTTGGAAAATATAATTGAATAAGAAAAACGTGAACTTTTTTTAACATTTCACCAAATATGAGGATCAAATTTTGTAAAATTACAAAAATATGTATTTTCAAAGATGGAGGCACAATTTTTTCTAGGGTGTAATTTCTCAAAAGTTTTATTATAAACAAAATATGTTTAGAATTTCACATAGAATCTTAAAATGTTATCAGATACGGCGCGTTCAATTTGAAATAAGCAAGCAGGCGTTGAAAAATTGACAGGCGTTTCTAAATTACATCTCATTAAAGTTTTAATAGGCGGGTTGGGTGAAATACCCTGTATGGTCATACAAAGCAGATGCACTCACATTTATAACACATTTTGACATGCTGCCAGCCCACTGAGTCATTGCCAATCCACTATTTGTCACAATCAGCCTTAAGACTACGACAAATAAACTCATCAGTATTTGAAAATAGCGATATACAGGCAACCAAACAATCTTAACCGTGACTCAGGTCCTTACCTTTCACCAATCTTTAAAAATATTTACCTTAATTTTAACACATTTTTGCAGTTAATCATCAAGTGTTATTGAAAAAAACCCAAACTTCATGATATCGGAAGTTGGTTACATTTTAAAACCAAGTTATTTATTGGAAGAACAGAAAACAGTTACTGTAAATGGCACATCAAGCGAATATCAAAATGTAAACTGTGGCGTTCCTCAAGGAACGGTTCTCGGACCTCTTTTATTTGTTTGGAAACTCCCTTTTGAAATATTTTATCTAATCCATTTTTTTTCTAGAATTCTAAACATCAAACATGTAAGCTTAGTTATATTATAAGTATTCAAAAATGGCTATTCGAAGTAATATAAATACATATTCTCTACTCTAGTCAAATAAATATATTTGACTTACCACAACTGTATTCCTCAATTCTTAAAATAAACATTGGTCTCCTTAGATAGTCAGATGTACTGTAAATGTAAGTGACAGAACATTTGGATGATCTGCAGGAGCTTTGAATGAAGTAATAGGTATGAACTGAAAATTAACATGAAGAAAACAAAGTACATGGTAGTCGAACGCCAAGAAACACGTGCATTAGCTACCGAGATTAAAAACAAAATAAAACAGGCTCCAAGTATTCTTCACAATCAGAACATTTCTATCTAACCGTAATCTCTCTATAGAACTCCGCAAAATGATGCTGAAATATTATGTGTTTCTAGTGTCTCAGAAATGTTATTAAGAAGAATACCAGTCTTCGGAATGTGGACGTATCACCCACTCCATCATATTTAAATATTTTGGTCACATAAAGAGCACCTGGCAGAAAAAGAGATTCCTAGTTAAAAGATCTAGGGAAGTGGTTTCCAAAGTGAAGATTACCATTTTGACCGCCACAGATAGGGGATAGTACAAGAAGAAGACGCATTAAACACAATAAAATTAAAATTGAACCATCCGGTCACTTGAACAATTGGACAAAGATGCAAAACTATGCCTCGATGGCTTTAAAAAATCCTTCTAAACTGCTTAAAAGAAACAAAAAATATGAGTTTATCAAACACACTTATTTTTTTGTTTGCATCTAATTAAAAAAAAGATTGATAAAATAGTGTATTATGACGTTTCTTTTGATTATGATGAGGGTATCATTCTTCTGATGCCAGACTTTTCATCCTCATTTATTACAGTTTTTTATCTTTCTGTACTGCTCTCTGTCCAGCTCCAGTCATATCCTCGCTTATCTTTGTGCACAACACATTTTAACTATTTTTGCAACTCCGAATGTTGAGTTTTGATAACGAACAGCTTTGAATACATTGAGAACAGTAATTTTCTCGTTTTTAGAAATCGCAGTTTTACTAATCAGTTAAACAGTAAGGAGCAGATACTACGCCTATGGAATACGGCTAAGTTTTACACTTCAATAATGATTTATAGCTCTCTCCGGCATTAAAGAGCAGATCATAACTTTTTTCTTAAAGCCACCTAAGTATCGCGACTCAATTAATACATACTCCACAGTATATCCACTTATTCGAAATTATAACCCTGTTACGTTAGAGGTCCTTACGTAATCTGAATCCTTCTCCAAAGTATGGTTAAACGAATTCAAACCACGTTCTCTTTGGTTGCAGATCCAAGACTAAGGCACACCAAAGCCCACATCCTCTACTTTACGTTCAGCGACAGCATAACCAAGTTCCATGTCGCCAACGCGACCCTCCACGTGTTCATCAGGGGCGTAGAGCGGCGACCGCAGCCATACGTCAACCTCGAGGTGTTCAAGGTCAGGAAATCCAATGACCACTCCGAGCCGAGCTTGTCGAAGGTGTTCGGCCGAAAAGTGATGCAGCCTCTGGGAAGGGGCGACTGGGTAAAGGTGGAATTCACCGAGACTGTCGGAGAGTGGTTCAAAAATCCGAGGGAAAATTTTGGGTTCGTGATCAACGCGACCGCGAACGGAAGAAAAGTGGCTGCCACGGATGTCAACACGGAAAAGGGCAAGGTATAGCTTATATTCACTTCTAAATATAGCATATTTCTAAACGGTACGGAGTAAATAATTCCTCGCACTAAAATATGTGGAATATAGGATACTTTTTATAATGAAATTTAGAGAAAACACTTCAATTCAATGTCCTGCGTGTTCTAAGACCAAAAATACTGCCATCAGACGTCAATTTTTTCAAGTATTATACGAAAAATTAAAGTAAATTTCCTTTAGAGTTAACAAAATAAAGTAATTTCCCTATGAACATATGTTCAAGATATTTCCTGATACTCATTGTACATGGTGTTCAAAATAAGGTTTTCTTGCCCTTAACTGAAAAACTGCGAAGGACAGAAAAAAAGTTAAATTGGAAGGTTGTATAGCTTCATAATTTGTTTTATATACGCGGTGTTAAATTCATATGGAATAAATACCAGCTTCCTTATTTTAAATAGATTTAAAAATTTAATTTCGTTAATAACTCTATTTTTCAGACCGTGAGTGTCATATTCAACTGTTAAACCGCCAATCATTTCTGACACTCCGACTCCCGAATAGACAACCCTAAATACATAGTCACCTTAATTTTTGATGCCAAATTGGATACAATTGTAAAATAGAGCGTCCTCTGGCGTAAAAACAGGCGTCAATACTTATAAAAATAAACAATCAAATAAATTTATTAATTAAATACTAATAATAAACTTGCTGACGTTTCGCCAGTCATCCTTTTGTATTCTTCAGGACTTACCTGAATCTATCTCGCATTATACTCTGTACCTGCTTATATACTGGTCGAGGGGGATACTGATTCCGATATTGGCGAAAAGTAAAGACTTGTAAATAATATTACAGTAGCCTGTGGAGGTTTCTTTGAATTTTTATTATTGAGATGTCTATTATTAAAAAATTATAGCAGTTTCTCTATAGGTTTTATATTATTCTCCCCCAATTAAGACGATTTCTATTTTCTCTCCACTACTTAATCACTCCAAAATTTCTACGAGTAAAATTCTAACTCGTTTGGACGTTCGTTTGTAAATCCTAGAACTAATTTCAAAAATGAATAGGTACATTTTTGCAATGTAAAAGAATGTAATTCAATCAACCAACTTCAATATTTATTTATTCGATATTGTCAAATTTAAGAAATATTCTTCGGCTCTAATACATTTACACATTCCGCTATGGGGGTCTTCCTGAACTAGTAGGCACCATTTCACCTGCCGTCTTTCTTTTCATTAGCGTTCACTTTCACATTTGTAAGTTAATTAAAAATAACGTCATTACAAATGAGTTTAATTCCGATTAAGGCTAAAGGAGGGGCATGAACATTTTCTGTATAAGCAGGTACAGAGTAGAATTCAAGTCAGTTTCAGCTGAGCTCTGAACAGGATGATTTGGCGAAACGCCAGCAAGTTTGATTTCTGTCGTAGGAGTTATTCCGAAGAATTGTAAATTATAGTAGAGTAGCATGTGAAAGTTTCTTGCCAAAGTTAAAAGTAGAAATTTGAGCCTTTTTCAGCAACAAAAGCTGACTATTTCAATTACTTCGCATATCGCCGACAAATCACTCAAACAGGTCCAGAATATATGTGTGTCAAATTGTACACCGTATGCCAAATAAAACGATCCACTATACGATCTGGAAACCCTTAGGAGATACGAAAAAAAGACTCTCCTGAAGATTTAAAATATTATAATTTTGTTGATACACGGTGTCCCAAAAGTGTCCGGCCCGACATCAAATTTGTTATTTTAAATGGAACATCCTATATATTTCGACATTCTTTGAATTCTTGGTTAAAATAAAGGTCACTTTCTTAAGAAATTGCTATTCGAAATTTTCATAGTTTAGTCAGAAATTGAGGTTATGTTATGTTATGGTTATATAAAATTGTACCGTTTTGGCAAATTCAGATATTAATTCCAGGACAAAAAATAGGGTACGTTTGTAAATTATCTTATATTTAAACTTTGCTTACTTTTTGAGATATTCGAGGTTTAAGATAACACCCGTATAAATTCTTGCTGAATTTAAAGCTGCCCACATTAGGCCACTTGTTGGCAATTATAGGTAATTCTTAAATAGTATTACATCTTTAAAAGAAGTAGTTTCATGTCCGCTATTTAAAAAATACCTAATATTGCCAACAAGTGACCTGATATGGGCAGCTTTAAATTCAACAAGACTTTATACGGGTATTATCTTAAACCTCGAATATCTCAAAAAGTAGGTAAAATTTAAATATAAAATAAATTACAAACTTAGCTTATTTTTTGTCCTGAAATTTATATCTGAATCAAAAATATAGGGTGTTCCATTTAAAAATCTTGAGATTTTGTTAATTGAATTCGGCAAAACGGAATCACCTATTTGGGACACCCTGTATAAGCTTAGGTGCATCTGTCAAACTGATTGAGTAGTGCAACATCTCCTTAGTTTGCGGTTAAATTTTCGGGGAAACACTGTATCAACAAAATTATAACATCCAGAAGTCCGAGTCCAAGAAACTTTTGTATGAAATTTTTTTTGTATCTCCAGATCGTATAGTGGATCGTTTTATTAGGCACACGGTGTACAATAAAAAAAAATTAAGGTAGAAATTAAAAAACTAATAATTCGGTTGGAAGTTAAGTGGACGTTTGTATTGCTCTTTAAAAACAAAAAAATTAATTAAAATAAATTTGAAATAAATACTAGTTATTATTAATATTATTATTAATCTACGCAGAAAAAAATGAAAGTGTTTTGCTTTGCTTATTAATGATACTTTTTAAAATTCGTTCTCAACTCCAGCAATGATTCAACAGGATCAATTAATGAAAAAGACCCTTTGAAATGCTCTTTTCGATGTTGCGGTAGGGTAAGGAGGTCCCGCATCATCCGTCTTAACCAAATTTTATAGTACAGATAGGGTGGTGTGCAGAATTTCATAATTTTACAATAAAATAGCAAGGCATGTAGTTTTTATCTATTAAACAAGGTCAGTCAATCTGACCTTTTGAGATATAGCGTAATGTGACTTCTACTTCGGACCCCATATACCAACCTAAGTATTTTTTATATACAAAAATTCTAGATATTGTTGAAGCAATTCATTAAAAGCTTCTTAGAGTCTGACGTTGTGTATATAACCTTTAATTTTGTAGTACCATGCTCTCTAAACTTCAGAATCCAAGATAAGACCCAAATTCTTGCAGTATTAATGAAGGGAAGGACTGATTGATTAATAAAAAATCGTGTGCAGTTTTGGTTGTTTTGGAAAGAAAAAATATATCTGAGCGTCATCTGCATAAAGATGATAGTTACAGTTATAAATATTTTGTCTTTATTTCCAGGCTCCTTTCCTGGAAATCTCCACCATGGAGCCCAAACGCCGGGTGCGGCGTAATATAGGCCTCGATTGCGACGAGAAAATGAACGAGCCCCTGTGCTGTCGCTACAGCTTCGTCGTAGACTTTGTGGAAATCGGACTCGACTTCATTATAGCCCCGAAGCGATACGACGCGCACCTGTGCTCCGGAGAGTGCCCGTTCGTCACCCTGCAGGAATACCCTCACACGCACCTGATCAAGATAGCGTCGCCGAATAGCGCGGCACCATGCTGCGCGCCGAGGAAGATGTCCGCCATTTCGATGCTCTACTTCGACGAGAAGTTGAACGTCGTGTTCGGCAGTCTGCCGGGAATGGTGGTGGACAGGTGCGGGTGCTCATAATAGACGATCTAGTGCGCGTCGATCGGGTGTTCTAGTTTCTAGTTACGGGCATTTATAGTTTGTTCCTTTGTTCCGTCAGACGTCGTTCCTAAACGCCTTGGAATTTGTCAGTTGGAAATCATACTGTATACGCTCACCAATACCATTTGTTGCCCTTAATATGACAGTTGACATCGGCTTAAAATTTAACGACAAATGACAGTTGATGGACTTGTCCAGATTGCTTCCTAATGTTGAACATGTTGGACATAGACTATCTAAGTCCATTATGGACAACAATAGGAAACAACGACAACTAACGAAGGCTTTTAGTTCCAATCAGGGCGGCAGTGGCATTCATTTGTCGATTGGCAGTCGTGATTAGGTTAAGATTTCCTGATCGAAACAGACTAACCCTACAGATAAAGTGTTCAAATTTTCGATTCAATTAGTAGATTCGAGTGTCGTATTAACGGACATTGGGATTGGTGTAGTATGTTCAGTCCAATCTCTTTTCGTGTTACACTCTGTGTGGAAATGGAGGATTAATTTTAAATTATTAATTAATCCTTCGTGTGTGGCGCCATAGTCGCCCCAAACGCCGCATCGACTTGGTTCCATATGCAAAAGTAAAGGTGCCTGTGAGATAATTTTTTCCTTCTATTTTTATGCTTGAAATCGAACCAAATATTTATAACAATCATTTTACAACCTAAAATTTTCCGCCGACGCTATTAAGGTAAGGGAATAATTTGGGATTCACAATTTATTGTATGTGAACCATGTTCTTTCCTTCTGCTGCGACCTGACTGCTGCATACTCCCAAGTATTCGTTCCCCCATCATCATCATCAAGCACAACCGGCACTCGTCGTTATTAACATATGGTGTTTGAATGTCCGGTGAGCACTTTCAGATTTGATTTTTTCATTCATTTATTTTATTACCGGCTTTGATTGGATTCCGGCTTTGGGAGTATTGATGGTTCCTGATATCCATGTCAATGCTTCCTTATTCCTTGTTTTTAACGATTTTAGTGCCGCCTACCTCTTGCTTCCTTTCCAAATGATGTCCTGCCCCCACGAACTCTTATACAGTCTTACACTGACCCCACTTTCGCCTGCTTGGCATGTTCACTTCATTATAAGGCTTGGGAATACAAACTTTATTGTTGTTTGGCATTTGGAGACAGTAGCTTCTTTTAATTTATCATTTATTCTTGAAAGGACTTGGACTTTACTTTTGCATTTCGAGCGACGAATGGTTTCAAACAATTTTAACATGGATTCGGTCCATAATCGTGAACAATTTTGTATAACGCGTCAGACAAAAGGAGCAAACAAGTCAAAATTTCGAAAAAGGTTGACCAGTATTAGACAATATATGTTTTCGTCTGAGCCAATTTGTGTATACGTATTGAAAATTCCTCCCGTTTTAGATAAAGAGAGACGTTACCCTTGAAAAATGTGCTAGGGATACGTGCGTGTGATTTGTGCGCGAATCGAGAGGTGACCCGACGTTTCGAACGACTCGGGAACATTCTTGAGAGTTTTATTTATTTCTTTTTTTTTTGTTTCGTTGTGTTTTAAACAGTTGTGTGCGATTGTTGATGTAGATCTAGGGCGACGACGCGACGGTCGGAGTTTGTGGTTACAAATATACGCCGAAATTTTGGTTTCATTTTGCTACCGACAAAAAACTTTCAAACCAAGGACCAAAGTTCAGGCTCGCCAATTTTCTTCTTCTTTTTTTAAACGTACGCTTTTATTGACTGAGTAAAAAGTGGAGCAAAAATAATTTTACGAAATCTTTGAAATAGAAAATAACGACAACAAAATTTGCGGATTATTAAGAAATTTTTGAAAATAAATCAAATAGATCGCCTAAATCTAAGTACAGGGTTGAAATAGCTGATAGAACAAATTTTCGCTTCTTTTTAGTTTTTAATGGTTTAAAGGTTTTAAAGTTTGAATGTGTCCTGTTATTACAGACCCAAGATCCATAGAAACAGAATTTTCACTAGTCTTTACTAGACGATTATTATTATTTTCACAAAATATGAAGCAGCTATTACCGAAAACCTAAAACATAACTACGTAAAAAAATGAAAACGATCTAAGGCCGCGACAATTTTTGATTAAACTTGGTTTTAGGTAACAAAATTAATTGTTGTTTGTTGTTTTTGGCCATATTTGGACTGTCATCATGACAAGCTATAATCACATGTGAGCTAGAGGTTTCTTTTTCTGCTTCATAGTTCATGCAAAGAAGCACTTTGTATCAAAAAATTCAATAAAAAACATGAATTTCATCATCCTTCTGATTATTTTTATCGTTATCTTTATATGTAAATTGGGAATGCTATTTCGCTCGTTTTTAAACGCCAATATAAGGGACTTACATCGATCATTCAACGCTTTACTATAGGCAAAATAAAATTTGCATGCTGAACTATCATCCTGATTTTTGATATTGGCACTTTTTTTTTGTTTTTCCCGTGAAAATTTGACCTAACCACAAAAATGAACCCTTGATAAAGCATAGAACAGCCGACCTAACCAAAACTTTTTAAAATAACTTAGCATCATATACGGGAAAAAATTTTGTTGATGGATTTTCGCAAATCTTGGCCCTGGAGATTAGTAAATAAATGAAAAGTTTTCACACTTTACCTCTCCAAACTAACATTTTTTATAAAAAGTGTTAGAAGCTTAGGTTATTTTTGAAAATATTGGAAAAAAGTTGTTTCCTTTCTAGTTTTCCACAAACGTACCGCTTTTGAAAAAAGTCGGAAGGACTAGAGTGAAGACTTTAATAAAGTGTTGAGCGTTGAAAGTTTATGCAAAGTAGATATAGTTTTGATACCAAATAAAGTTCAGTTGATGTTAATACAATTCATAGAGGTGACTAACTTAAAAAAAAAAATAAAAAAATATATTGATAAAAAATGTTGACTGTTCCCATTTTTATTTTCAAATAAATTGATACTATTAATTTTATTTTTAAAGTTGGGAATATTCTACAGTAATCTTCAAGATAATGACGTGCTGTTATACTATTTTTATTATTATTTACTAAACTTACAATTCATAATAGCTTAAAAATAATATCAAATAATATAAATCAAATTAAATAAAAAAATATATCAATAACAAGTCTCAAACTAGTGAAAGAAAGACTCATCAAAAAACATAACTACTCGAAAGTACGGAAAACTTGACACAGAAAAATGCTAAAGGGAGCAAAAGGGTCAATTTAGTTGTGATCATTAGCAAGTCTCGCTGTTGTGGAACTAAAAGTATTAAAACCATAGCTACTTGCTCTGATAGCCCTATATGGAACATGAAGGCAGCTTTAGGGAAAATTTGCTCAAGTTGAAACTCTCCCGCCTAGCATACTAAAGGAAGTTATAAGATTCCTCCTCTTATGGCGCACCGTAATCGGAACCATATGCAGCATAGCCAGTAGTTCCCCATCACTCTCCCGTTATATGTTATTTACATCAAAACCTTATGTTCAACCCTCTACTAAGTCTTGGGTGTTCGTTTCAATGAATCCAGACATCTGAAAAATTTTTTAGGCGGCATTATTTAAGTCATGGAAAAAATGGGGATCTACATCCAACGAGACTTTACTGATAAGGGGAATTTTGACAAGAAATTTTGTAATTGTAAAATTGTAAATTTAATAGCAGCACTAAACATTTAATTCTCGGGTTTATTTTGTCAACACTGGATAACTTAAGCACGTATTATGAGTCTAAAGTGTTTCTTAGTAAAAAGGCGCAATAAAATAAACTTTTTTCCTTGAAAATTTCGGAACAATCCGCATTTTTTTTTATTGGTATTTTCTTTTTTTTTTCTTTTCTTTAACTCGGATTGCATGAGTTTTCCATATAGCTATTAGATAATATGAAAGTCTTATTGGTCGGGAAAACGAGGTTTGCGCATATCGGACCTCTTCCTAAGCAGCAGTTTTAGTCGCCATTACGTTGCAGTGATTTCAGTGACGTAACAAGCTGTCAAACCATGCCATCAAAAACGGAAGAAATATTTTTTGGTTCTATCTATTGATATGGTAGTTATCAAAATAAAGATGCATGTTTGCTGATCTATAAACGATTCCATATTCAAGACACTACGAGAGAAACGACAGAAAAATCACATTTTTTATGATGAAGACTGATAAAAAAATGTTCAAAATTACCTCAGTACTAAAAATATATTTGAATAAGATTTTTCTAGAAGGAATTTTGAGGAAATAATTGTTAAAGTACCAAAAAAATTGCGTATTTGATTTAATGGCATTTATCGTTTTGTAAGAAAAGATGGCCTAACTTTCAGTTGTGATTAAGTGATTAATGTATTTGTTAAAAAATGTAAATAATATTTTACAAACCAAGAAACTGCAAGTTACTGCAACTTTGATGCTGCTTGGGTTCAGTCTGGTCTAGTTTACCGGGTTCTTAACTTTCAAATTGCTTCAATGACGTGCCAACAAATTTCATTCTCGGCAATTTAACAATCGTACGGGGGTGAGGGTGGGGAGGCGTAAGAATTTCACTATGGAAGTAAAAGCGACATTTCCGGAATACACTGTACAGTGCGACCAGAATACTTAGTACAAAGGCCTTCGCGGGCACCTCGCGAACCACCAATAGGTACCACTTACTTAAACTGGACCCGCGGTGTCGCTTTTTGTTTTCGTAATTTAGAATTTTTGTAAGATTTGTGATATACTTAGGGTGTAAGAGCGATTTTTTGTATTTATTTTTGTAAATCCAGTGATATACTATTGAATTTTGAGATGCTTATTAGGAGGGGGTTTATTTCGCGATCGGGGGGAGCGTGTGTAAGGTACCGCTTTCGGAAAAAATATATCTATTTTTTGGATTCGACCCTTAGGGAGATTTTTAAATGCGATATTTTTATACATACGAGAGAATTATTATCGAACGACACAAAAATTTGTGATATGATGCCTTACGAGCTATATTTTTGGGTGGGGGGGTTGGAAAATTATGTGATAAAGATTCAAAATTTTTTGTTTTTTTTTTGTTCATTTAAATAAGGAGAACAAAGCGAGAACGATAGTATTGTACGAGGAAACGTTGCGTTATAGAACTACAACTGTAAACTGTAATAGTGAATAAGACTGTATAAATTGATTGTGAGGTGCGCGGTGTACAGAGATAACGGCTTTGCGCACCTTGTACATATCTGTTGTAGATATTAAGCGAATATAGATCTCTAAAAGATAAGCATATATAGTATTTAGGCTACCCGCGGACTTATTGTTTTCAACCCGTCTCCTTCTATCTTTGTATTATTGTAGCTCGAAATTTTTCGTAACTAATATTTAGTAGCCGGGACTCGTTTCATTTTCCTTCCTGCTTTCTCAGTGTCTGTTTATAGTAGTAGTCGTAAGTTTTTTTTTCCAAAAATAAAATGTTGAAAATCGACCACTGGAATTTTATTTAAGCTCCCGGACGCTGTCGCGCTCTCTGCTGTGAATAAGACTATCGTGTCAGTTTCTAGGCATATTTTTTCAAGTTTTCTATTACATTATTTACAAATCTTCGGCATTCCTCCTGTGTCGGCTGTATAGAGCTTTCAAGCTTCTTCGCAGCTTAACTGAAACTGGCTCCCCTTAGACTCTGTACCTACTTAAATATTGTTTGATGGGGGTGGTGCTAAAGGAGTGGCATTAGCATTGTCTCAGATGATTCCCGTGTTGGAAAAAGGTCTTTAGTAGAAGAATTGATTACATGCCAGAATGCCGGCTATTTGTCAAAGTCGTAAAGCTATTCTTTGAGCCTAGGAAATTGAAAAAGTTATAAAAAAACTGCAAACGAAAAATGCTCCTGGATGGGACTTAACGTTTCTTATAAATAAATGTTTTGAGAGTAGATGTTTTCCAGATTGTTTAAAAGTTGGCATTATTAGGCCATTATATAAAAATGACAACAGAGAAAAAGTTGAAAATTATCGTCCAATATCAATATTTTCAGTGTTTCCTAAAATTTTTGAAGGGGTACTTAAAACGAGGATTGTTAAATTTCTTGATAAATTCAATACAATCTCGGACTTTCAATTTGGATTTCGAAAAGGGAAGTCAACACATGATGCTATCAAATCTTTAACATCCCAAATATACGACTCATTAGATTCAAGTAACCCTTGCATGTGCGTTTTTTTAGATTTAAGCAAGGCTTTTGACACTGTTTGCCACAATAAGTTACTTGATAAAGTTAATTGTGGACTGAGAGGGAGAGTATTTGAGTGGCTGCGTAGTTATTTGTTCAATCGTAAACAGTGCGTAAGCATAGACGGTGTTTTGAGCGATATGAAGACAGTAAGATGTAGCGTACCACAGGGTACAGTTCTCAGACCGCTACTGTTTACGATATAGGTAAATAATATGTTACATTTAGACAGCAATAGTACAGTTTTCAGTTTTGCCGATGACACTGTAATTTTTGGACGGGCAAAAACATGACAATTGTTAAAGTTACAAGTTGAGCAGGACTTAAAGACTCTCAAAAAGTGGTATCAGTACAATAAACTTACATTGAATTTACAGAAGACCAAATACCTACCTTTCTCATCCTACAAAAATCAGCTTCCAAACATCGGAAACCTAACAGTTGAAATGACAGAAATTCCGAAAGTTTAATTATCCTGGTATTACGATTGACTGCCAGCTCAAGTGGAATCTGCAAATTAAATTTATAGTAGAAAAATCAGACCACTTCTATCAAAATTTATTTACATACGAGAAAACCTATATATGCCATTAGTACAAACTCACCTATCCTATGGCATCCGGGATTGGGGCGGGGTCTCTGAAAACCACCTGAAAAATCTAAATGTGTTGCAAAAGTGGTTTCTAAAAATAATTTATAGCAAGCAATAAACTTACCCGTCGGATCTACTGTTTGAGGGGAATTAAATTCTCGATATACGTCAGTTATACCGCTTTAGTATACTAAAAGACATCCAAAAAGGAAAAATTCTTGTTCTTAATGCTAATCGCACTTATCATATCCGGAACAGACAAAACAAGGACGTCTATCCCACAGTTAGAACAAAAACACACGGACAACGATTATATACGTATTTCTCACCTCCGTTATATAACATGCTACCATCATATATAAGAGCCCAAACCATCTCGAAATTTAAAAAAGATGTCAAAATATGGATGTTTCAGACGGGCAGACGACTTTTTGATGACCTCATTAACTTAAAATATCAAAGGTAAATAAGACTTGAATTATATTTTATCAAGCATAGTTTTCTTTTACCTAAATCCTAAATTATGTATATTCACATGCTTAGTGAGTTAATGTTTTTATCCTCGTTTTATTTTTATTTTTGCTTACATGTATGAGTAGATATTATATTACTATAAATGTAACAAGCAGATTCTTTGCCTCGTCGTTATTATTATAATTATTATTGGTTTGGTTTAATATTCAGTGAAACAAAACATTTACTCCACTTATTAGTTGATATGAAGTATTTGCCGCATATGCATGGAATGCTGTAAACTCCTGCTATCTCTCCTGCTCTAATTTTATTTTTGACGGATCGAAGATGTTGAGAGGTTTTTGACGTTATATTTCTTAAAAACTTTTGGGCAGTAATGTTTTAATTGTAAAGAAAAACAACAGTGGCAAGTGTGGGGTTGCTTTCGGGATTACTTAAAAGGTTGCGGTAAAGTGTATTTTGTGATGAGACGCTTATTGTATGTAATGTGGAAATAATAAGAGCAAATGTAAGGTGTTTTAATTTTGGGTTCAGTGACGCGGGTTGAGATAGTTTTGCGGCTCTGTGGGCCAGAGTGTTGATAACCGATGATTTTTGGGTCGGATAGTGACGTAACAATGCATTAAGCACTAGCGGAGCAGAGCGGAGCGAGTGTTTAATAAACGAGTGACTTAAAAATTTACGAAACGTGTTGCATACGACTGTTAGCTTTTCGGTACATCCGATTGCTACCAAACCCGTGCGGTAGTATCCCGGAAA